CTGCTGCTGCTGTTGCTGCTGCTGCTGCTGCTGCTGCTGCTGTTGCTGCTGCTGCTGTTTTTGTTGTTGCTGCTGCTGCTGCTGCTGCTGTTTTTGTTGTTGCTGCTGCTGCTGTTATTGTTGTGAACGTCTGAACGTTTTCCATTTATAGAACCTGTTTCTTGAAAAATAACATTTCAACAATTTGCAAAAATAATTATTTACTTATTCAATAATGATATTATTATCATTATCTTGATACATGTTTTATGAAATAACTTGAAGTATTTTCATATCTCTAACTTATTTTTATGAGTTAAAGTAAGTTATTTTCATGCCTTTACATATTTAGATGAAATAATGTAAATTATTTTCATATCCTTAAGTCTTGACTTTTTTTGGTATAAGGTAAAGTAATTTCGTGTCACTAACGTTATTTTCTCAGGCAACGTAAATTTCTTCATATCCCTATTGAATATTTATGAAGTATGAAGTAATTCCATGGATTAACGTAAAGTGTTTTAATGCCACTGATGTAATTTAACCTGTATAACTTCTATTATTTTCATGTCTTTGACATGTTTGAATGATGTTTTACCGTATATGTACGAAAAATGAAAATATTTATCAATAAAAATTATTTTTCTCCTGCGCCAGCGCGTGGGAGAAAAATAATTTTTATTGCAGCTTCTTTAAATAAAAAATAATAAATAAAATAATAATAAAAATTAAAAGTAATAGAAATAATTTTTATCGCAGCTTCTTTTTTCGGCGCGTCGCACGTGTGGCTGCCGCTGCAGGAGGCACGTAGCTCGACCCACGTGCACCTGCGTCTCTACACGAGTCAACCTGACTCACTTATCCTGCTGGCAGCCGGCGAGACTGACTACCTGCTGCTGACACTCGCTGCTGGCAGGCTGTCGGTGAGTGGCTGACTACTGCTGCTGCTGACACTCGCTGCTGGCAGGCTGTCGGTGAGTGGCTGACTGCTGCTGCTGCTGCTGACACTCGCTGCTGGCAGGCTGTCGGTGATTGGCACGATTGAGTGACTATAAATAAGCAATTAAACAGGAGAATTTTTGCATAATTATTTGCAGTGAAAATTATTTGTCATTCATTTGTTGAATTTATTTCATTTATTTGAGAATGAAACGCACAAAGTTCCACTCTGCATTCACTCAGAAATATTACTGACTCCGTGTCCAAATATCAATTCAGTTTCTGCCCTTTTGTGGGTCATCCTGACCCAGTTTCGCGTGGCAAATGGCGTATCAGTGCTACGTCAACTCCATACTCGAGCTGTGCGTTCAGAAAGTCCGTCACAATTTGTACTATATGATCCATTAAATTTTTTGAGTGTAGCGTTAAAGACAAGATATTCTCGAGCCACACGCACGCTCCAGCACATGACGCCTGCCTTGCCTCTTAATTACTTACACGAGCAAAGTTTGAGCTCTAAACAAACATTAATTAGCCTATTAAATAATTAATTGGAATTAGCATGCCAGATCTGAACCTCCTGTGGGGCTACACTCGGAAAATTATTAGGTCATATTGTCCAAATAGTGAAGAACTTTCTTGGTCATAACACGAGCGATGAGTGGTCGTAGCACTGATACGGTCTCTTTGATGAGGGAAAACTGGGTCAGGATGACCCACATAAAGGCAAATAGTGCATCGCTATTCGGACAAAGTTTTACTCATTTATTTGAGTGCATGACAGTAATTAAATTAAACTAAAGAAATTGAGCTAAAGTTTGTGGCTTCATCTATTATGTGACCTCATCCATTATGTGACCTCATCCATTATGTGACCTCATCCATTATGTGACCTCATCCATTATGTGACCTCATCCATTATGTGACCTCATCCATTATGTAACCTGTTATGCATTCAACGCAGAGTATTGTCCCTCTCATTTTTCTCAGTGTTGTTTAATCGTGCATTATTGGACACGCGTCCTTCAGGTAACACGGTTTCGTTCTGATGCAGGAAAAATATTTTGATATAAGTCTTCACTCAAAGAAATGAGTGAGATTTTGTTGCAATAACGATGCATTATTTCTCTGGGGGTGGGTCCCCCTAACCCAGTTTGGCCCTGAAAAGGGCATATCAGTTTGCTCTCTGCTCGTGCTCTGCGTAAGAAAGTGTGTCATTCTTTGCACAATATTCACCGTTATTTTTCCTAGGTGTGGTATCGGTGTTTTTGCATGTTTTAGCCCACGTGCCATTTATGCCACTTTTTTGGCCGGTTAATGGCCACTCGGGCCCCACAATAAATGCCATTAAGAACGAACGATCTTGTTCCTCTGGTGCAAAAAAGCCCTATGTTCCTGAGAGCCAAAACCCTGTAACTACCGCGGCCATCCGCACTAACTTATCGTATTTTTGATAAACTGCGAAGACTTACCGTAGATCACAGGACTTTTATCCTCTAGTGAAATAAATTGCTTGTGGTGAAAAAAAATTATTAATTGAATTTTAAATGAATTTTAGCGTTCATAATGGCTTGCGTGTGGTGCGTATGTGGCTGTGCCTACGAAAGTCTTTGAAGATGTCTCTATTTAGCTGTATTATGATTATAAATTATCATAATATAATTAGCTGTATTATTGTTAACATGATTAGGCACAACGGAAATGACGGAACTCGGGACAAATGAATTTTAAAATCAAGCAGCAATGAAGAATTGAAGGATTTATTCATTGAATAATTAATTAAAAATTAATTAAAAAGTCGCTTGAATGATGTCAATTAATTATCTAATATAATTAATAAAAATGGTGTTATTATGTGAAATTTTGTTTAAATTTAAATTATTACGAATATTTAAATTCTATTTAATAACGAACACTATGGAAAATCAGTGGGTCATATTTCCCAATTAGTGACACACTTCCAACAAGTTCTCTGATATGCCCACTTGTCGAGCCCCGAAGTGGGTAAGGGCACACAAGCAAACCTCTACACACACGAAAAAATGCATCACTATTTGTACAAAGTCTCACACATTTCTCTGAGTGCACGTTATTAATGACAGCATTTCGGCATGTGCTCATTAGTTGTTTTTCACGTCAGTAATTAATGTCAATTGCTTGTAATTCTCATGCAAGTCTTGTTTGTTGTCCCACTTCAAGTTTATATGTATTATATTATCAATATTATTAAAATAATTATATATGCTGATATTTATTTATTACTCAATTAAATATTACTTCGATATTATTCAACTTTTCATCCTCGTCATTCATTAGGAATGCGATTCAACGTAGAATTCATTTTATGAATTATATTATTCGCGAAAATTTATAAAAACTAAATAATTGGTTTATTTACGTTCATTTAATAACTCTCCTAAAAATTGCAGCGTAACAAAAAAAATATTTGGCCTCAAATTTTTTCAAAAATATTTAGCATAAATTGTTATTTTTCATTTTTATAAATTTGTTAATTTATTTTTTCTCGAAGTGAAATTGGAAAAAAGCGGAATTTCGAGTGTTGTGGAATGTCGTTTTTGGAATCTAGCGGGAGTTGGGAATCTAGCGGGGGTTGGGAATCTAGCGGGAGTTGGGAATCTAGAGGGAATCTAGAGGGAGTTGGGAATCTAGCGGGGGTTGGGAATCTAGCGGGAGTTGTGAATCTAGCGGGGGTTGGGAATCCAGCGGGGGTTGGGAATCCAGCGGGGGTTGGGAATCCAGCGGGAGTTGGGAATCTAGCGGGAGTTGGGAATCTAGCGGGAGTTGGGAATCCAGCGGGAGTTGGGAATCTAGCGGGAGTTGTGAATCTAGCGGAAATGCCTGAGACGTGTATAGCGATAACAAGACGACAGTTCTAGCGGGAATCTCGTGGCAATATCGCTAGCCTCCACACGCGGCAGCAAAATCATCAGCTTTACTGTTAAGTGTGCGGAAAGAAATAAGAAGAATTTTCTGATAAAATATAAAATTTATGCGTTCATCATAAAAATATTATAATAATTTTACCAAATATTTTAACTTTTATTTCAAATGTTTGTTATGCTCGTAGTGTTTTTATGAAATTTTTTGTGGGCTTGGTATTTTGAACTTCAAAATTATTTTCAAAATAAAAGGTTTAAAATTACGCATAGACGCACCTTAACGCTCTTCAAATCTCCATTGCTGCTCTTCACAAGCTTGAGTTAGAAAATAAGTCACGAAAATGTTGGTATTATTAAACGTTCAAATTTAGTACACAGATTTAAAAAGAAAGTAATCGTTTCGAATAATTCTCTCAAATCGTCAATTGTCGCGTGTTGAGGTTGATTTTGCAGCCGACTGTTGAACATAAATACTTGTCGCTCAACAGAATCGTTGAAAACATTCAATGCAATATTGGTAGGATTCATTCATTTGTATGTATTATTTTAGTGCTTGTATGTTAGTGCATTACCGGGACCTGAAATTTGATGTCTGGTAGCGGTGTCATAATTCATTGTGAAACAGGAAGGATGGACAAAAATTGTACATAAAATAATCATTATATACAAAGTCCCATTCTTTCAGAAATGCACAAATGTTTAGTGATGATCGCATTATGATCACCTTATGGCCGCATTATGGTCACATTATGGTCATATTATGGTCGCATTATGGTCACATTATGGTCGTATTATGGTCACATTATGGTCACATTATGGCCGCATTGTGATCACATTATGGTCACTTGAAGGTCGTATTATGGTCGCCTTATGGTCACGTTATGATCACATTATGGTCGCATTATCATGCGTTGACGTGAAATGCTAATGTGGTGCCAGACAAATGTTATGTCGCTCATCTTCTTAACTCCTGCCTGACAGATCATGAATTTTAACCCTCATAAATTATGTATTTATTACATCAGAGCATGAAATGACCATCTAACTGAATTTGGATTATTTGTTTTAATTTTTTAGTTCCACTCTAATTACCATGTTTAAATTCATATCGCATAACAATATTGAACAAAACACCTATTCAGAGTCAAACTAAAAAAGCTATTTAGAATCAAACTAGAAGTAAAACTCCACGGATAATTTATCCAGTATTTCAATATCTCTCTTCGCTTGATACCTTCATCCCCTATTACTTATTATCCTTTATTAAGGGTATCATCCTTTTTGTACCTGACACAATGGTATTAATGGGTTAAAGGATAAAGGTATAAATAATATTAATTGTAATAAAGGGTTAAATGATAAGAGTATTAATGATATTAATTGTATTAAAGGGTTAAATGGTAAAAGTATTAATAGTATTAATCATTACCTTTAACATCGCGATATTAATTCAGGATTAACGACGCTTACGGAATATGTGTATCAATTGATACTGCTTCTTAATTATTTATTTACTAATACTTGCTAATACTCAATACTTATTTACGGCACTTGACACAAATGAAACATGACACACCTGACACATGACACACCTGACACATGACACACCTGACACATGACACACCTGACACATGACACATCTGACTCATGACACACTTTAGAGCTAAAGTAAAGACCAACGCTGAACACTAATAACAGGCCGATAGCACGATTACACTAAAAAATTATGAGCTAAGTTGTTTCAATAGTGACACGCTTTTTACCCACATCACGAGCAGAGAGTGGACGAGTCACTAGTACGCACTTTTTACAGAGCAGAACTGGGTTAAGACGACCTACACAAGTAAAAGTGTTTCATTATTCGGACAAGTCTCCGTTATTTCTCTGACTGTAGGCAATCAACAGAGTTTGTCTCTGCGCTAGGTACACTCAGATAAATGTGTAAAACTTTGTCCCAAATAGCGATACACCTTTTGCACTTGTGTGGGAAACCCTGACCCATGTTTTGCCCGGCAAGAGAACGTATCAGTGCTACGTCCGCTCTCTGATGTGGGGTTTGGGTACAAAAGTGCGACAATAATTGTATAATATGACCCATTTATTTGTGTGAGTGTACACTACGCGAGGGAAATGTGACTTGTCCAAATCTGAGGGATAATCTGGGACTGCTGAATCTTGCAATTATCCTTTGTTCGAGGATTGGTAGCGTGGATATTATGTTCATGCTTGTATACAGCACGCAATGCAGGAGATTATTCAGGCTCGCTTGGATGAATGAATTGTCCTGAGATTATAGACTTATATAATAAATAAATGATTGCATTGTTAAGTAGAATATAAGATATTCTGTTTATTTAGTCATGCTAATATATAAGATTAAAAACAACGAGATGATTTAAACAAATTTTCAAGCTATTTCTTGAAGTAATTTTATTCTCTTAGATTTCCTATACATATTGATGATTAATAGATTTTTCAATTTATATATGGTAATTTATGTATTTTTACATTTATTATGCAATTTATTTATTTTAATTTTTTTCTTTATTTATTCTTTTTGCATTCTGAGGTCTTCTTTCTTCTATTCTTTTTGCATTCTGAAAAAATGAACGGTATACATCGTTTTTCGTGTTAAATTTAAAGTCAGTTGATTTCATTCAAAGTTAATGTGGGAAAATTCAAGATTTCGTATGCTTTCCGACAATTTTTTGCATGTTATAATTCAAAATTATCCAACTACTTTTTACTAAACCTGACCGATTTTAAACCGACAAGGATTTAAAAAATGTTATTGGTGCAGTGCGAGACGATAAACAAGATCGATTCAATATTTAAACTTTAAAACTAAGACTTTCGTACTGTGCTGCTACCATTAAATAATTTTCACTTCAAAGGGAGTTCGAATTTAGGCAATGAATGTATAAAGAAATATTGAATAGAACGCCCATGAAAGTTTGATATTTCTTTTAATAAATAATGAACCGGCAACTGCTGGTAACTTCGTGTATGACTTCACTGCTGAATTTTGAATTATCATCGTGAATGATTGATGAGAAATGAATGCCATCAGACATTCCAATCAAACTTCGGATCTAATCCTATGAGAAAAATGGCTTCCGCTGCAACAGCGGTTCATATTGATACCAGTTCGCAGGGTGTAGATATTCACAGGGTGTAGCTATTAACAGGGTGTAGCTATTCACAGGGTGTAGCTATTAACAGGGTGTAGCGGGTGATCAACATTGGTTCTTTTGTGCGGCTTCATTGGAAGAATATTCTGAATAAATAATCCAATCTTACTTACGGATATTACACACATACATTGAATTTTAATTTACACACAAATAACCGTAGTGTTCTCGATAATACAGTTCTGTCGCTGATTGGTTCGATAATACTGAGGGTCGAAGACATAAGATCGTGCAATACTGAGGGTCGAAGACATAAGATCGTACAATACTGAGGGTCGAAGTGTCTCTTATACACATCTAGATGTGTATAAGAGACAGCTATCATGGTACACTATCACGGTTCACTATCAAGGTACACTATCACGGTTCACTACCACGGTTCACTATCATGGTACACTATCACGGTTCACTATCACGGTACACTATCACGGTTCACTCTCATGGTTCACTATCACTGTTCATTATCACGGTTCACTCTCATGGTTCATTATCACGGTTCACTATCACGGTTCACTAAACTGATTCACACGTTTTTCCACAGTACGAACACAGCGGTTCAGAGTCACCTCGAGACGACTTCATCATCGTGCGAGTTTTAGGTCTGTCGTCCTCGTCGAAGCCAAGTCGTCACGACGAAGCGACTCTTCCTGAAAGTCCCTTCCTTCGTCACGACGAGACTTCTTCCCTTGACGACTCATGGCTCATCGTCCGACGAAGCAGTCCCTTACACGTCACTGTCATCGTCAAGAATGAGAACGACGAGGCACCAGTCGTGACGATCAATAAAGGAATTAATATGTGGCAAGAAGATACCGTGGTCGTCACAAGTGACGTGCTGGGTAAGAATGCGTGAACTGTTGTATTCATTTAACTTATTTTCCTTATAAATAATTGCTTAGTATCTTATTTAGATATAATTTTGATTCCATATATTTCCAAATCGCATAGTCCATTGTGAGCTGTTCTTTATTTCAGCTTTAAATTTTTTCGTATCTTAATTTTGTATTCAAATTATTAACAAATATTTTGCTGTGATTCACAGAATATTAAGTAATTAGCTGCGGTTCACAGCAAAAAAAATCATATTCCTCTGGTTCGCAGCAAATAAATAGCAGTGGTTCAGAGCAAATAAAATATTTTACCCTGGTTCAGAGGTGACGGATGCAGACTCGCCGAGCACCGAAGTCCGGTTCGAGTGCAGTGAACCGAATAACGGGTTCCTGGCCCTCACCCACGCACCCAACAAGCCCGTTACCCTCTTCACCCAACACGACGTCGAGTCAAGACGTTTGCTCTTCAAACAGTCCGGTACGTTAAACGGGTTATTCATCAAGAAAAAAATAGGTCAGGATTATGAGCACAAAGTTCATCGATACTTGGACAAAGTCTCACTCATTTCTCTGAGTGGTATGGAAGCAATATTCTTGTATTTATATGCTGGCGCTGCCGTCGTTTCACATAAATTCTGTTCTTTTCTTAATTGCAAAAGTTTAAATGTTGAGCGTAGTTTTATTGCAATACCGTATGTATGCAGTGGGTACTTTATAATATCCACTTCCAGCATGTACTTATATATACTATAATTTTTAAATATTCGACGTCGTCTTGCATTTTTTTACTATGGTCATGTAATTGATAACTGATAATTTTCAATGTTATTCTGCTATTAACACTCGTCAACAATTTTCACATCAGTTGTTTCATTATTAACACTAGTGATCAATAATTATTATTAAATTACCCTTGTCAACAGTCATTATCACATTAATTATTTTTTTATGAAGAATTGTTAACAAAAATTGTCATACAAAATATTTTTTATTGATACTCGTTAACAATAATTAACGTGTATTCTTCGGTGGTCAGGTTCCCTAGTGGGAGTGAGAAAGTATGTTCCTATTCAATATTTATTCAATACTCCTTAACGCAAATTATATGAAATTTTATCATCACCTCTTTTAAGAATAATTGACGTGTATCCCTCTGTGGTCAGGGCCCCTGGTGGGGGGCTTCTCATGGCGTGCCACAGACGGAAAATATCGCACGGCGGCCCACGTTTTCCCCGTCACAGCAAAGGCCATCAACATATCGGTGACGATGACTCAGCACTTTAGTATATTCCCATTAACAACGCATATTATCAGAGACCAGCATCTGCTGGCGAGCTTTAATAAGCCTGACTATAACCAGAGCGTCTTTATTATAATCAAAAGACAACCAAAAGCTGGAAGAGTTGTGATGAAGAAGTCCAATGGTTTGTATGAACACGCGGGGACCTTCACCCAAAGGGAAATATCTTCGGGACTTGTTGCCTATGAACATTTACGAACACCGTCATCTCTGCATGATCAGGATGACTTCATATTTGATATCGAATCTCCACCGCTCCGCATCTTAAAAAAATTTATTTTTAACATTTCCATTAGTATTAGCAATACGGAACAAATGCAAGATATCCTTGGTTTGAAACCTGTCAACGTTGTCGAGGGTCAAGCAGTTAAGATATCTCAGGATAATCTTAATCTATCGGCGTTGGATCGGTACTTTTCAAGAAATATAATAGACGACTGGAATCCTTCACTCATTACTCACGTATCTCGTGCACCCAGGCACGGCACACTCACGCTGTCTGGCCGGAATTTACTTATCGGCAGTAGCCTTGAATCAAAAGATATCAGCAGCGGGAGTCTCGTATACCAGCACGACCATTCCGAGACCCGCTCGGATTCTGTCCTCATTGAAATTCATATCAGAGATCCCGAGGACAGTCGACCGATGTTGATCTGCAACACTTCCCTAGATATCATAGTGTCTCCTGTCAACGATAATCTGTTTTCTCTAGAAAAGGCTAAAACTTCAATTGTTCGCTTCGACACTAAAGTTTTAACTGAGAAGGACTTGTATACGAGCGACTTGGACTCTTCGCCTAAAGATATTACGTACCAAATCATGTCTGGACCTGCAAACGGTAAACTCATCATAGGTACCAATTCAAGCGCAGGCTTCACCTTCACACAATCAGATGTGGCTGCCGGATTAGTTTCGTACACCCACGACGGTTCTAACAGTTCAACTGACAAGTTTTACTTTCAAGTTTCGGACGGTGGACACATGCCGAAATATTCTGCTTTCATGATTGATGTCGAGCCGCTGAAACTAGAGCTCATTAACCACACAATGATTCGAATCATGCAGGCGGCCACGGTATCGCGAATAGCCAATTTCAACTTAGCGGTGAGATTGAACACAGCGGGGCTGCACGTCAACTTTAACGTCACCAAGTTTCCCAGACATGGTAAACTTTTCATCAGCGGACAAATGGTTTCATCGTTCACTCAAGAAGACGTTGATAGAGGAGACTTGATCTATTTACAGTCCGATATGAGATGGAGTCGAGATGCGTTTAGTGTGCTCATCTGGTGTCATGATGTGGTTTTGCCTGAGTTGGACATGCTGATAGAAGTACAACCGATGCTAAAGAGCCGGTTGATGCAGGCAGTTTCTGGATCACGTGTACCGATTTCAGAAATCCACCTGAATGCAACCGAACTCTTGCTAGTATCAGATTCTGTGCCAGTTTTTCAAGTAAGAGAACAGCCTCGGTTATCACTACTCAAGAAAGAAACTGTTGACTCTGACGGTAATCTACGATCCTTCCAAGTGCAGGAATTCTCACTGAATGATATAGAAGCCAGTGTTATATTCTTGGTCGTACAGCGACTGGCTGTCGAAGCTGATCGACCGTTAAATGATAAAATTTCCTTCACCTTATCAGTGACAGGAGCGGACGTTCAGCCAGCGAAGTGCGTGCTCGAGATCGTCATCTACCCAGCAGACTCCAATCTCTTGAACATGGTCAACAACCCCCGCCAGTTGCGACCAGGCAATATCTCGCCAGATACCAGCACTAAGGGTAACCCTTACGACACATTCGAAGAAGACACTAAATCTTTGCTTATTGTGGCAATCGTTCTAAGTGTTTCTCTTGCACTTATAATAATTATTTCAGTCTCAGTATATTGTGCAAGGTTCCGAAGGTCCGCTAAGACCGAGGACCACAAAGAGTTCGATGCCATAAGCCTCCCGCCTCCGCTCACGGGTGACAGTCGTCCTGAATCATTCCTCACCGATTACATGAGTGAATTTGCAACTTTTTCGGACGCGAACAGCCCCAACACCTTCATCGGAGAACGTCAACTCGAGTGTCACACCTCACAATCCGACACGTCGTTACCATCAGACATCACTCGTGGGGTGCCTGGTGTCCGGGACTTGTCGCCGTCCCTACCCCAGTGTAAAGTGACGCCTATATTCACAGACCCTTCCCATATTGGGGGCAGAAGTCCCAGCAATGTGTCCCAAATTTATCAGACTAACGCTCGAGTGGAAAGTCCCAACGACTGGGGTGCGTATGATCAGAATAAAAGTGTTTATAGTCCCATGCTAAGAAAAAACCAGTACTGGGTATGAGATACATTTAATGGTTGTGCGGATTTGTCAGGTTTCATACGTCTAAGGTTTATTCTTAAGCGATATTTGTACCTTTATATGAACGAACGCTCCGTCGCTTAGCGTTTGCCGTAAATATTTGGACGATCTAATATCATTTGCTTGAGCTTGAATTTTACTTGAATAATATGCTAGAATTTAAAATTTCTTTATCGGATATTTATATTGCTTAACATATTTTGAATTATATTGACAACTCGTTCAAGGATACTTCTACTAATTATGTAAATAAATTGAATTTGAAGGTAATTCCTAATTATATATTGTACAGTTGTCATGATAAATTGAATTGTTAGTCACAGCAAAATCAAATTTCGACAACTTAGCGTATCAATAATTTAATTGACATAATTACATAATTACAGAACCATAAAAGATACAGACAACATCTGATAAACAACGTATAATTATTCATGCGCTTAAGCGTTACATCGCGCTAACGTCAACCAAACAATATATATTATTTGAATGTATTTTCAAAATTAAATTTCATCATTAAGCTACAAGTGCAATGATAGAGTTACTGCTACTTAAGTTATGCAAGAAATGAGTCCATTTTTGTCCAAATAAGGATGCTCCCTATTGCTCTTTTGTGTGTCATCCTGACCCAGTTTTATCAGGCAAAAGGTCGTATCTGTGCTACTTCAGCTCTCTGCTTGTACTATGGGTAAGAAAGTGTGTCACTATTTGCACATGACCCATTCATTCTTCTGAGTGATAGCTTCAATTATGGTTTAATGTAGGGTCGTAATTAATCCATTCCGTGTTCTTGGATCGATTAATTTGTCATCTTGTAATAATTTCAATCATTAATTTAAGACTGACATGGTTGTTAACTATGACGTTTTCGAGTGTTTTTTGAAACTGACATGGTTGTAAGTTATGACGTTTCGTTTTTTGATAATGTATGGAACTCAGCGAAAATTTTCAGCTACTTTGTTTTGTTGAAACTTCAACAGCGTTGCTCGACCTGCCTAAGCAGAATTTCAATAGCATTTTTGAACCGGTTTGGGCTGATCTTCAACAACGTTTTTCAAATAGTTTGAGCATCATTTAAACAGCATTTTTCAACTTGGTTGGACTAAATTTCAACAACGTTAGGTTAGGTTAGGTTATACCTGTTAGAACTGCGTTTAAAACAGCGATTTTAACTTGTTTGGGATTGAATAAAACCGTTTTCGTCAACCTATTTGCCTGGATTTCATTCGTGTTTCTCAACCATATATACGTTAATCATCCCAAGCTTCATGTCCGCCATTTGAGATTGTTACACATATCAATGGAGCCTGATCGAGCCTCTGTATAGCGCAGTGGTAACGGCACCGAGATTAGAGGAGCTAGTCGTAGGTTCGAACTTTGGCAAGCTCATTTAATTTCTCGGTGCGCTTGGTTGCCATCAAAGGTGGTGCTTGCAGCACGGCATTTGGTTGGTGTCCCTAAACGAACTCTGGGCACAAGTGTTAAGACCTGAAGTCTGAGCATAGCGAGATGGCCGGGTTGTTAAGATTGCAGCAGCGAGTTTCGTGTTCGAGACCTGGTGCAAGCTGGGAAAATTCTGTAACAGCATCGGCGAAAGGCTTGTTGCATGGCCTAATCTTCAACGCTATAATACCACTGTAATATGTTACTAATATCACTATTATAGTATGATTCTGATCTCAGTGAGCAATGCTCGTGGCATGAGCGACCTTTGTTTTATCATGAATTAATTGTAACATAGCCGTTTTTCTGTATTATATGATACCATTTTCTATGTACATTTCCTCCTACAAAACTCGCTTTACTATATTGAGTTTTATCGCTTTTTTAAACGCTGGCATCGCTAAAAAAATCTCTTCACTGATATCGTTAATTTTTCTTCACTTACAACGGTAGAAAAAATTTCGTAACTCAAATTGTTACTCTTATCATTAAATTTAATTATTAAAATGTGTAATATTTCTTCAGACGATTTAAGTTCGTTCATGATTGCGCATTTAAATATTTATCCGATGCACTAAGTATGATGCCTAATATTAGGTTATTTTTATAATAAGTGCGCTTAATTAGTGTTCAATCGAAAAAAATAATTTGTGTTAATTAAATTAAGTGCTAAGAACTTCGTTTTCTGTTCCATAAGATTTATGATTGACTGGTTAGTTTCGAAGCCAAATATTTTCTTGCATTTAAAAGGAATTTGTTAATTTTTTTTTGAGTGGTCTATAGATTATTCGTCTTGGAGTTAACTGCAGTAAGTTGGCAATTCGCAATTGAAAATAATTACTATTTGAAGTGATCATTATAAAGTCTGTCAATGGATCCTCTAATTTGTTAAATTCACATTTTAAATGCCTGTATTTTATTATTTTCTTTTGCAGTGTTGATCACAAAACGTCGCTCAGTTTCGTTAATCTATTATTTTATTTGATTTTAAAAAATATTGATTCTTCAATCGCATTATTCAAATGATGCAGAATAACCAAGAAATAATCAAATTTTGAAGAACATAAAAATGGATCCTATGGATAAGATAATCATTCAAATAATATCGTCGAAGTTAATGAAAAATCCTATTTGAATGTAGCAAGCATTTCTTTAATTAGGATTATTTTATGATGATGTTAGTAAAATGTACATTCTGTATATTAAGTCTTAAAAAGTTTGTCTAACATTTCTTCATTGTAACTCTATATTTATACGTGAATTTCTGTCAAGTTTTTCAAATAAAAATTTCGATTATGAGATTTTAATTACCGAATAATATATGCCAATTAATAACTGTTTTTGAGAAAAATAATGTACGTATTTTGCTTGTTTAAAAATTCTTATCGGGAAACTGCTACATGTTTTGTCTTAATTATGTTTCAGCAACGGAATTGACCAATAATTTAATTATCAAGACGTCCGTCAAGGTCGGGCAGAAAAAGCTTGTGGAAGCTTATATAATTAATCTTCTATCATCGTATTCAGTGTTTAAATCTTATTAGAGCGTTTTGTTTTACCTTTGTAAAAGCATTTCAATGCTTTTGCATACCAAATGAATGAGGGTGTGAGCTCATTGAATGTTCAATCATGCTTATGTTCCTGTTTAACTCAGTTTTGACCACTGCCATAAATGCTATCTACATAAAGGGTTAAGCCTATTGGTGCCGGGAACTGATTGCCTAATATTTCACAGTAAATGCGTTTCACAGTAAATTGCACTATGCGTTCGAAAAAACTTCTACCAGTTCACGTTTTACAAATAGTCATTTTTGGCTCAGTAACCACTACAAACACTTTCATAGAATGTTATTTCAATTGCGACTCGTGAATTTCTAATATTTACTCGAAATGAGCATATATCTGACATATATTACTGATCAATTTATTTTAAATATTCACCAGAAAAAATATTTCACAAACTCAAAATTCATGGTTGAACTATATACGGTCACCAGGGACGACTGAAATAGCCCAGCATTGCACAATACCAGCATAATTTTCATACTACACCCCGTGCGCGAGCATGCTGCTGGGCAAATTAGCCAAAATGATTACTTGCTGAAAGCCACAGGGACCAAATCCCTTCATGGATGTAAACCAGCGAGCCAATGACCTGCAAGCCGCCAAAACAATGGTCGTAACCCACGCGCTAAACCCCAAAATATTTCTATTCCATGCAGCCTAGCCCCTTCTCCACTTTCGATAAAGAACACCCTGCGCCACAGAGCTATCAGTGCACTGCTACATCTCCAGCCTGTCCGTTCTTCTGGAGGCTAAACCTCCACGCTTACCCCCTGCTCCACCTCCTTTCGGTACCAGCTTGCGGAAGAATTCTAACCTAACCTAACCATACTAATCTAACCCTTTCGCGGAAAGGTGGAGAGAAGGGGGCGAGTGTGGAGGAAGAAGATGCTGGTGAACGTCAGGGCTGGGCTTACGCCTGCAAGGGGGGAAGATGATGTGACAGTCCGGTGCGGGGCCGTTCCCATTTACGGCAGTCTGGTGTGGTCTGCGGACCCTGTGGCTTATGGCATTTGTAAGAAGTGATGGTATGGGTAAGAAGAATTTGTAAAAGTCAAATTTTTGGGCTACAGCAGCGCTCCTCTGGCGGGAAGCGCAGCCGTGCGAGAGCCGGTTGAGCTGCGATGGAAGACGGATGTGGGGAAGTGAGTTCCAATTTGGTATTCAAGAGTGAAATTGTACTTTTTCATTTTCTCGATCCTTGATTCCAGTGCTGACTGCAAAAACAATCATTTTCCTCATGAGTCGTCTCAAAATGATAACAACAACTTTCCTCATGAAACGATCTTCAGGTAAGCGACGGAAGAAAGACCACACGACTGCCCGTGCCCGTCAGGTACGTCACTCCCTATATTACTCACAAATTGACAGTCATTTGGCTGTAGTTAAATTTGTCATCACGGAAAGAAAACACTAATAGTGAGTTAACCATGGTATAGTTCATTTAGATAGGCATCTGTATTAATCCTTGGCTTCTTGAAACATCATGGATGAAGATGTCAAAAATATTGTAAAAAGAATATATTTAAAAGTTATCAAGTCTTTTTTATTGAAATTAAGCAAAGCACCTTGGCTCATTCGAAAATAAATTTTTAGTAAAATATGACGAAAATGGTAGAGCAAAATGCTTTTTCGACAAAAATTGAACAATTATTATTTGGGGGTGCGTTATTAAGACAAAAGGTTCCTCTATGGACATTATTTGTAGATGTCATTTCGTTATTATGGCGATTTCATAATAGACATCCATACCCAGGATGGTGCAGCACAGTGTGGAATTCTCGATGGGTAATATATTCTCACGTTCATATAAGAAAATGGATCGAACAGCCTGCCACGTTACACCTTCCACCGCAGTGAAAAATGAGACACATGCAGAGCTAAACAGAAACTGCCGTACATTCTATATCCTGCGTGTGCCATGTAGCAGTCTCATGCAGGTGCAGCAGTCTCATGTGCAGCAGTCTCAGGTGCAGCAGTCCCAGGTGCAGCAGTCTCAGGTGCAGCAGTCCCAGGTGCAGCAGTCCCAGGTGCAGCAGTCTCAGGTGCAGCAGTCTCAGGTGCAGCAGTCTCATGTGCAGCAGCCTCAGCAGGTGCAGCAGTCTCAGGTGCAGCAGTCTCAGGTGCAGCAGCCTCAGCAGGTGCAGCAGTCTCATGTGCAGCAG